AACCCGTTACTAGCGTGGTGTACCTAATAAAGTGGCCGGTGAGTGTATATTGCCTGTTTTTTCTTCATATGACCACTTGTTGAAAACTTCATTCTGAAACAAAGTTGCCTCTCCAACAAGAAAGAAAACCTGAACTCAATGACAGATTTTGTTCTTAGAAGGGYAAAAAAATCAGCTCATAAATTGATAATCCAGCAACAGATTAAAAAGTAAAAAGATTGTTTAAATAAAACATAAGACAAAAAAGATCAAAGTTACAGAGTTTGAAGTGAAAAATTTGTCCTACTTGTTTGTGCCTCTCTGAGTTTATTCAGTTTTGGATGAATGTCAGGAACCTTCATTCAGAGTCATGACTTATTAACGAGGAAATGTGAAACACGGGCATGACACCWCTCACTTCACACTTGACGACATCACTGTCTCTTGCCTACTTGTGCTCACACTAACACCCACAATGRTTTTCTGCACAGCCAAATGCACAGCACAGTGAAGGCTGACAAATTTTAACAGAAAAGTGAAAAAAAAAGAGATGCTTCGACTCTTCCGTCATCAAGAAGGAATGCATAAAAAAACTTGGATTACTGTATTATCATTGCAAATGTAATGCAGATTTAAGACACTAATGTGTGAGTCTTTGTGACCACTGGAAACAAAATGAGAGAAAAAGCACAAAGGAAGTGCTGGGATGTGTGTCACTAACCTGGATCTGTGCGGGTAAATTGCAACAGACWGTGTCCAGCAGTGTCTGTGTGGGTTTGTCTCTGCACATCAGCACCAGCTCCAGGTCCATGTCACCTTTGATCAGGAGTCCTTTGGCCACAAGTCCAACCCGTATCACTCCACAAAGCACACCACCGATGCTGGCATCCCTGTTTAACAGACAGACTCTGGATAAACCTTCTGATGTTTAATACAGTCGGTGCATTCACAATGACATTTACAAATAAAACTACACAGGAAGGAAGTAAAAAGAAGTAATGAACCATTTTTTAAAAGATTARTGAAAACACCGTTATGGCATGCCGCCCGCCCCTTCTCAGATAATTCTTTATTCACATAAAATCTGAGGTAATAGTGAAACAGTGTCTGCTGGAAGACAAGTGACATCAAGGGAACTATTACCCTCAGCTGAGTAATAACCAAGCAAATTAAAGTCTGTGTTGCATCATTGTTTACCTGTAGCAGCCGCCGGATTCTTCCGCTCCTTCACTTGGCTCATCACCAGGGCCATCCTCCTCTGGTCTGTCTGCTGCTTGGCTGTCGAAGTTGTTGTGGGCAGTACCGCTGGTCTGATCCAGCCAATCAGAGACGTGTTTGAGAGCGCACTCAACCGTGGATACCAGCGTCTGCACGGCCTCCAGCTCCTGCGAGGAGGGGTAGATGGTGGAGTGCTTCGCCATGACGTGGCGGTCATCGTTGCTGAAGGAACGAAAGGACCTCTGGAAGGCAGAAAGATTAAAAGCAGAGTTATAATCTACATTCAACATATTACAATTCACAGRGCTGAGACGAGATCAGAGTCCCTTAAATGAGCGCCACAGGAGAGAGGTTTCCAACAATAAATTTAGTTTTATTCAGTTTTAATTAATTTAATTATAGCTTTGAACTCCCCACTTGATGAGCAGTAATTGTTTCTATTATAAGACAAATAAAGAATGCAACAACAACAACCAAAAATAAATAGTGTGTCATTTTGTGCATGCGTGAGTGTACATTTTTTACCTGCTGAGACAGAATATATCTTTTTTATGGATAAGAAATCTACGACAGCTCACCTACTCAGACAGACATACACATGTAGGCACAGCTATCAGGGATCCATCCCACCACCATATTCTCCCCGCCTGTCCTAATTCAATCAGACACTTTGGCCTTGGGAATTCATGTCGGCTCTTCAGTCTTTCTAATGCGCCCTCCTTCCTTCTCTCCAGGAGGTTTATGAAGAAAAACCATCGGAGAAGGACACCAGGTGCGAAGCATCAAATGGGGGTGGGACGGTGGGGAAGAGTAAATGACTGAAAATGGAGGGAGCTTGCCAGAGGAAACAAGAGGGAATGGATAACACCAGAAGATGGTTATGGGGATAACAGAGTCTTTAGAAACAGATAAGGACAAAAACGATTGCGTGGGTGGAGGCTGAATTCAAAGATAGATGGAAGAAATGATAGGATAAAGAAGTGGAGCKGCTGTAACTGTGGCTTTTGTGATTTGCATCCTGCAGAAAACACAAGCCAGATGGGACTCTGTTTTTATGGACTCATATGAAAAGGCACTGAAAACTGTGTGTTGTCTGCATCGTTTCATGTGTTAAATTAGAAATTTTATTTTTGGGTCTGAACTTTAGGTATCAATAGCTCTAATTTATTCTCATTTCTTATAACATCCTTAAAAGTGAATTGAAAATTAAAAGCGCATAAATAATTACAGTATATTCTCTAAGAAGTGTATATAAGTTAACAGAAAAAAACAATGTTACTGATCAGTATTTGTAAATTTCATAGAGTTTTTTTCATGGAAAATAATGAGAGCAATAAAATAGGTATTCTCAATTGTTAAGGTTAAAACCAAAACAATTGAGAATACCTGCATTTGAAGGTTTAACAGACATTATTAAATATGCTGYTGAGTTTAAGGCTAACTGATCAATAATAAATTATAATTAAACATTTATTTGTATGGCACCTTTAAAAACATAGTTACAAAGTGCTTWGTACAAAGTGCTATGCACCATCTCTATACAGCTCAGGTAGCCAGTGCAGAGAGCAAGAAATGGAGTAATATAATTATACACTGCCCGGCCAAAAAATTAAAAAGTTGCCACCTGGATTTACGTAACTAAGGTCTATGATGTGGGGTCGCTGCAGTCGGTCAGGTCCAGGTTCAACAACAGTTTGTGCTCAAAGAATGACCAGGTTATTCCATCAATGGATTGTTTCTTCCCTGATGGCACGGCCATATTCCAAGATGACAATGCCAGGA